CGCTGCTCCCCTCAGCAGTGTACTTCGTCGATCTGCCTGTTCTGCTCCCCACTCTGTCTCTGGTGAATCCTCTCACCCTCCGCATCTCTGGCCAGAACCTCAGTTCTGTATGAAAAAAGAAATCTTAAAAAAAAAAAAAGAGGCTTCTATTTTTCACTATTTCTGCAATTGTTCTGTCAATCTAGTCTCTATATCTAACATAAGAATTAGGGGAAAATTTCTTTATGGTCACTTCTTGTTATCCTATTAATCTTATCTAAAAAACCTTTCTATGTGAAAAAGGGTTGGGGTGAAAGAGGAAAAAGTAGGAAAACTTATTATGATTTATAATTTTATTAATTAAAACTATGTTATTTAAAACTATAGATCTTTTATTGGGGACTGGGCAGGAAATGATTACAGCCTTTGGCTCCAGAGTTCTTGGACCATGACATGTCTCTCATTATCATGAGATCTAGATTTGTTCCAGCACCCTCATGCAGAGAAATATTAATTATTTTACATTCTGAGCCATTCTGTGTATGATGCTATTGTTATTAAACCAATCAATCTAGTCAAGTAATTATTGATTTTATATTGAATATATATATATTTGGACAATTGCTGTGCTTCTTGGGAAAAGCCAAAAACAAACCATACTTCTTGGAAATGGCCATAAACAAACAAACAAAAAATCCAGCAGAAGCCAGCTGTAGAATATCCTGACTTTTCAGGATTTCCTCCACGTCAGGATCTTGTCATACAATGTGGGTAGAGTGGCTCTCGTCAGAAAGTCATAGCTAGATATTGTACCCATTAAAAGTGGATGTTTGGGCCCTCCCTGTTGGCACAGTGGGTTAAAGTGCAGCACTGTGAAGCTTGCCACAGCCACTTCAGCGCAAGTTTGATCCCGGTCATGGAGCTGACCCACATAGACCTCTCCTGGCCTGCCCGCTCAGCAGGGCCCTTCATCAGTCTGCCTGTTCTGCTCCCCATTCTGTCTCTGGTGAATCCTGTACCTCCGCCTACATGCAGTTCTCTATGCGTAAATAAAATAAATCTTCACAAAAAAAAAAAAAAAGGGGAGATTCCAGGCTCCCTGTCCCATCCAAAAAAAGGAGGAGCTGAGCAGGAAGGACAAGGTGAAGAAGCAGAGGGGAGAACTGGAAAGAGATAGAGAAAAAGGAAGACTGGTATATAGCTAAATTTAAAAACCAAGCCGCCTTTCCTCGCCAGCAGGCAGATTTGGAGGCCTGGGTGGGTCAAGGGAGCAGGTGGGACAGCTGTGGGGACTGGCCACTAAGCTGATGATCCGCTATGCTAATTCCTGTCATCAGTCAGGGCACACCCAGGACTAGTCACCCTAACCTTTTCCTTGACTGTCAAGATGGAAATTTGAAATTTGATAGCATAGATAAGATTTTGTTCATCCACTAAGGAAAAAAATGCACCATTTAAGCATTTTGGGGATAGTTTTTACCCCCTTTTCTGCATAAGCAATTATCTTAAAGTGAATCAACTAGTTCACATTTGGGAAGTGTAGGCCAAACATTTTTAGATACTTTGAAGAGAAGAGGAAATGACCTTGCAGGTAAGAGAGTGATGCCGTTTCCCTGAGGACTCCCTCAGTCTACGTCTTTCTTCACTTCATCTGGTAATTAGCAAAGTCGCTGGCACGTCTCAGGAATAACTGTCCTTGGAGGTAGTGACAGAGTGGGGAGCAGAACAGGCAGACTGATGAAGGGCCCTGCTGAGCGGGCGGGCCAGGAGAGGTCTACTGGAGAATGGAGTAGTCAAGTAACTGGCCCACAGCTGTGACGGGGCAGCGAGGGTTGCAGACAAAGGCTGTGTGTCTTCCAGCCACTGCCATGGCTGTGGGCCCACTCACAGGCTGCTGCTCCTCCCAGGCATCTCTCAGCGTTCCCAGTGTTCCATTTCAATAGCCGTTGGGTATTGCTTTCAGCCACTGTAGCAGAAAACGCAGTCAGAATGGCCTGAATCATACTGGGCTGTCTTTCTTGCATCACAGAAGCTGAAAAGCAGGCCATCTCGGGCACACCAGCAGTACCATGCTTGACCAAGGACCCAAGGTCCTTCCGCCTTCCTTCCTGCTCTGTCATCCTTAGAACCGTCCTCTTTACCTCAGGCACTAGCTATCGCTCCTGCCGCTCCATGCATGGCAGCCTGGTTCCCAACAAGAGTGGGAAAGATGAAAGTAAAAAAGCGCAAGTCCTTTGAGTTTGTCCCTCTGTGTGGGGCAACTGAAAGTCTTCTTAGAAGTTCCACTAGTACACGTGTCACACCTCATTAGCCAAATTACGTATTTGTATATAGCACTTCGTCCAGGACCACTGATTATCGCAAGGGTTCTAGGAAATCATGGGCTTTCTAGAGGCCTAGTGACAAAATCCTACAAAATTTAGGATAGGAACAGTAAGGATGAAGGAGAGCTCTGACTTTGTGCAGGCCACTAGCGGTATCTGCCAGGGTGGCTTATAGTTCTTCATTACCCTCATTGCACAAGATAAAATCCAAACTCCTCCTTAGCCTGGTCCTTAGAAACCTTCATGACCTTCTGCCTGCCCATCTTCCTCCCTCACTGCCTTACCTGTCTGTCCTGCCTGAATCCAGCACCTCTGTCCTTGATTCCTTAGTCATAAAGGATTAGTATTAGTGTTAGTATTATTAGCATTGTGTATTACAGTGTTAGTATTGTGAATACTAAGCTCTCCCATATTTCCATGTCTTTCCACCTGCTTTTCTTCCATCCTTTTTACCTCATTGACATCATATTTCTTTTGTCTGCCCCCAAAGACTGCCTCATCGTTCAGGTCTCATTGGAGGGATACTTCCTCTTTGAATGCTTTGACGCTTACAACTAGGCCTGGTTGCCTTCACAGAGCCTTCGCGCCATCTCTAGCCGTCAGTCATTTAATTGAAGTTCTTTGTATGCATCTGTGTCCCTGACAGGGCTGAGAGCTTGTGAGTTCCTGCAGATGAGTGAAGACAAATCCATGTTGGTTTTAGGTCCCCATTTTGGCAGATATTGCTTGACACAAACATTGCCTTTGATCTGGCATTTCCTTTGGTTTTGATGCTCTGTGTGTCTGCGCTTTGCACTTCTATTTTAGGTATGTGTTTTTAAAAGTCATTTTTGTTGTTGATATAGATTTCCCCCCCTCTTTGGTTCTAGTGGTTGAAAGGGATGAAGAAAATGGACTTTTACTTCTTCTAGAACTGAATCCTCCAAACCCCTGGGATGCAGACCCCAGATCTCCGGAGGATTTGGCTTTTGGGGAAGTGCAGGTAAGGAAAGATTAAGATTATAATAGCTTAAAAGCAAAAATGACTGTAATAGGTAGAAAAGGTTACTGGGTTTGTGGTAGATATTAGGATCATCTAGGTTATTAGGTAACTAGATATTAAATAGTGGTCGGTGGGGTGGGTGGGGTGTTACTGTGGTCAAAGTGAGAAGCTCTCTACTGAAACATACAGTGTTGAAAATCAATACTACCTCAGTACATAGTAAGCAAACAAAATTAAACTGTCCATTTAAATATAAGGATATATATTTCATACATGTAAAAGAAAACTAAGATAGCATATCTATTTATATATAACGTTGTGTTTTAATTTATATATAACGTGTTTTAGATTGCAATCCTAATGTCCATTAGTTATATTTACACACACACATACACATACACACACAACCTATATTATCATGAATAAACTTTGAAGGGGTTACAATTATAACTAATAATAAAATTATTTTAAGCTCTTGAGTACATTTTTTAGGAACTCCCAGAATTTGGCATGTGTAGCAAAGAAACATGCCCCCTACAAGACTTAAAATTTTTTTTTCAGGGATGGTGCTAAAGGAGAGTCATACAAAACTATTGGAAAAATTCAGAAATTCTTCTTGATCTCAGATGACTGTGACCAAACAAAACAGCCAGTTGGACATTTCTGTGTAATACCCTGAGATCTTTTACCAACCCTTGCGTACATTTTCCTAGCTTTAGAAGATATTTTCCACCAGAGGAAACAGTTTCATAACTTCGGAGAAGTAAACACCCAGAATTTTGTTTTTCTGGAATATTCGAGAAGCTCACAAAAACAGGCAGTTACTTTTTTGAGGAATTTAACGGGGAACCACCCAGAAGAGTCATCATAAATTCCTTGACCCCTCCTTGCCTTCTGTGCTGGCTTTTCACAGTGGATCCAGTTCCTGTTTCCTCATTTCTTTTTGGCTCACTCCCTTTTTAATTTTTGATTTTTATTTTTGCCTGGCACATCCTGTGAATGTGCCGAGACATAAGAAGGAAATGAGGCACTGGCTTGGAATCTCCCAGCCTGGGCCTTCCAGTCATTGTGTACAGTCATCGTATAGTCATCTTTGAAGGACCTTGACAGCCTGAAGGCATGAGCTAGCAGTGAGAGATAATTTAGAAGAGAACGCTCTGCAAGCCTGTTCAGTAAGGCTGTCTGGTGGTGCCAGCCCACCCAAGTTTCCCGGGAAATAGTGGTTCATGTTCCTATTCACAACTCCACTGGCATTTGAATCCTGAAATCCCTGCCTTCACAACACTTCTAACTGCCTTTCCTCGTTTTGAAGGACTAGTCTCAGCACAAAATGTAATCTGCAGTGCAGACCATACAAACATTATTTAGGAGCTAATTTAGGTAAAACTAGGTCAATATGTTGGTTTTGATTCCTGAAACCAACCAAGAGAGCTAGGGAGTGTCCTGAGCTGGAAAGACTCAGACACTGAGCTCTCTGACTTCCATTTGCTTGTCATGCTTAGAACAAAGTTCTCCAGGAGAACTTGTAAGCTAAACCAGCCTGAACCTTTCAGCAGTGACACCATCTACTCTCTTCTGACAGGTAACGTACCTCACTCACGCCTGCATGGACCTCAAGCTGGGAGACAAGAAGATGGTCTTTGACCCGTGGTTAGTTGGTCCTGCTTTTGCCCGAGGATGGTGGTTGCTACATGAGCCTCCATCTGATTGGCTGGAGAGGCTGTGCCAAGCTGACCTAATTTACATCAGCCACATGCACTCGGACCACCTGAGGTAATAAAGTCTCAGTGCTAGCTCCTGAGAGAAACCCGCAGTAAAGACCTGTGTAACTTGAGGTTACTGCTCACTTTGCTGTAGATGATAAGAGGATTAGTCGAGATGATAAGAGTATTAATTTAAACCTTTAGAGGACTACTTTAGATAAATGTCTACATTCACAGAGCATAATTTAAAAGGTGCTTCCACACTTTTATTTCTCTGGGAGTGAGGAAACAGTAACTGTGGGGGAAGAAGGGGAATTGATAACCTTTCAGCCCCACCTTGGAAAAAAGTCTAGGCCTGTGGATGATCAAAGCTGACTTCCTTTTTCAGATCAACATTTATAGCCTAGATTAACAGACCTTTTCTATAAAGGCCAGAGTGTAACTATTCTTTACAGATCACATAGTCGATGTCAGCAATAGGTGGCACTGAAGCAGCCTGTGTTCCACTAAACCCTTACTGATGGGCAATTACTCATGTCCTGTTCATGTGTCATGAAATATTGCCCTTTAGAGTGTTTCTTCAAAGTTTTGAAAAGGTTAGAACCATTCTAAGCTTGCAGCTGCTGACTGCTGTGGGGTGTGAGCTTCTGATACAAAGCATCCAACAGAACTGGGTTTCCTATTTGTTTGGAGTCAACCTCATGCAACACCTTATTACACCAGAGGAATGTGACACTGATATGAGTATCACCTTCATATATGAGTATCAACACTGATATGAGTATCAACTGTGAACTTTGCACAGCCAGGCAACCAGAGAGGAAGGGGAAGGAAAGTTCACTTATAAAGTCACATACCTACATATTTCCAGGGAGCATATTGCCAATCCCATGGTTTAATCAAGGGTCTTATTTCTTCATGCCTGATCTGAATTCTGTATCGACACTGATAGGTTCCTGATACAAACATCTACCTATGCCCACAGTGTTTGAAAATGATGCAGTTTCAACCTTCTTTGTGACCCTGCATGGCAGAATTCACATGCAAGACATACTTAGCTAAAATGTCCGTGGTTAAGACTACTGTGTTTGCTGGTTGACTGGCTCCTTGATATTCCAAAGCATGGGGGGGGGGGTTTCTAAGACACAACTGTAAATTTATAAATTTATTTGTTTAATTTATACTGGCCTCTATTTATAAAATCATCTATTACAATACTCTTACTGCCAGGCCTCACAGTGATAGACAACTCTTTTATATAATGAACGCTTGAGAAATGAAAGTTGACTTCATGACTTCATGTATAGAGCTGTTCACAAATACTTGAATGGTTAATTGTTTACTGACTTAGGATTGCTATAAAGGTTGAAAGTAGTTTATCTCCACATTAAGTGGTGCTGTCTTGCCTAGCTGGAAATTGACTACCCTTAAAAATGAAGAGTTCAGGCCCTCCCTGGTGGCGCAGGGGGTTAAAGCACAGCACTGAGAATTTAAAGCTGCTTCAGCATGAGTTCGATTTCCGCCTGCCCCGGAGGCGACCACATGGCGAGGTCAGACCTCTCCTGACCCGCCCGCTGCTCCCCTCAGCAGTGTACTTCGTAGATCTGCCTGTTCTGTTCCCCACTCTGTCTATGGTGAGGCCTCTGACTGCCTTTGGCCTGTACCCCAGTTCTGTATGCACAAATAAATAAATCTTAAAAAAAAAAATGAAGAGTTCATTCCATATATTGCAGTGAAGCTGGCAACAGTTGAAGGCTGAAAAGCCATACAGTGGCTAACACAATTTCTTCTTGTCCTCTGGCTGGGCCTTTTCCTGACTGATAGCTGCTATGTGGATACTGAGGAGTCTGTCTTTTCAGTTCCTTGATTCTTGGTCAATGTATTGGTATATGGAACAAACTGTCTTTTATACTATATGATCCATTATTTTTTAACTTTTAAACCTTTATATCCTTCTGATTTCTAGTTATCCCACACTAAAGAAGCTTGCTGAAAGAAGGCCAGATATTCCCATTTATGTTGGAAACACAGAAAGACCCGTGTTTTGGAATCTGAATCAGAGTGGTGTCCAGTTGACTAATATCAATGTGGTACCATTTGGAATATGGCAGCAGGTCAGACATCTTTGTAATTATACTTTCTGGAATGATTTGAGGTAATGTACTGTTTTAAGATAAAATAAACAAAGGCTCAGAAACCAAAGGAGAGCAGTGACCATCCAGGTGAATGCCCTTCAGCTTGCATATTTGAAGCTCGTGACCCCTACCTGGAACTGTGCATAAAACCAGAAAGGCAGAGGGGAGGGTCCAGCCTCCCCAAGAGAGCAGTGACCAGCTGTGGGTTTTGACCCACAGACAGTGTTAGAGCCTCCACAAAACTCTGTACACTTACACTGACCCCACCCAGTGTTGTAGGTGAGGATGCCCACAAAGGGACGTGACCAGCAGTATAAAGAGACATGGTGATCTGCAGGACTAGCACCCTTCACCCATTTACAGCATTATAGTCCTTGTGAAGCCGGGCATCACAGTGACAGACCTGGATTGGCCACCAGTCCTCGACATTCTAGTAGGAGCACCCTAAAGAGATGCCTGCTAGCACCAGTGGTACAGTCACCCTGTGCATAGAACAACCCAGAAGCAGAAAGCAGGGAGAAGGAAAAATACAAATAGCCAAGCAAACCCTCTGGGGAATGACATCCACGAAAAGAAAATCAGCCTCCAGAACACAACAACACTGACATGGAAGAATTTCTTTGCCTGACAGAGAGAGAATTCAGAATCACCATGCCAAAGAAACATGAAGAAGAAAATGAAAAGAAGGATAGGTGAAATGTAAACAAACTGAAGAATGAAATATAAACTTAAAGAAGGAAATAAAGGAAATGCAGTAAGTTAAAAGATTAATGGAGGAGCTAAAGAATTCTGAGAAAAACAATGAAAACAGAATTGATTAGTGGAAGCACGAATCAATAACCAATGAATCGTGACTCAATCTTCAAGATAGCTGTAATAACCAAAAAAGGAAAAGGAAAGAGGACAAAGGAGAACAAATGAAAACACACTTTGAGAAATGTCTGGCACCAGGAGGAAAGGAAATATAAGAGTCAGAGGAATCCCAGAAGGTGAAAAATGAGACAAAGGAACCAAAAACTTTTTCAGGGAAGTAATTGAAGTGAACTTCCCAAACATGAAAGAGGTAATAAAAATAGAGATACAGGAAGTTAGAAGGACACCAAATTACCACAACAAAAGGTGAAGTTAATAGTAAAGTTTCCAAAAGTCCTGACCAAAAAATACACTGAGGAAGGGGAAGAAACAGGTAACTTGCAAAGGAAAAAGACTTAGGCTGCCATCACACTTCTCTGAAGAAATAACACAGGAAAGAAGAAAATGGAGTGACATATTAAAAAGTGCTCAGTCTAGCTTATTATTAGGGAAATGTAAATTAAAAAACCCAAAATGAGAATGTCCCATATCAAAAGTCCAGAAACAAGTAACGGTGAGTGTGAAAAACAGGTAATTCTCTTATACTGTTGGTGGGAATGTAAACTAACACATCTCTATGAACGTGGTGTAGCGATTCCTTTAAAAACTTAAAATAGAAGTACACGTGATCCAGCGTAACACTTCTCGGTGCTATCTGAAGAATATGGAAAGAGTAATCTGAAAAGTAATGTGGCCACATAACAGCAAGATCCACACTAGTCAAACAAGGAGCCAACCTAAATACCAATCACCAATCATTGGATAAATGGATAATGAAATTATCTTACATATACTCACTGGAATAGTATTCAGGGTTTTTTTTTGTTTTGTTTTTGTTTTGTTTTGTTTTGTTTTAATAAACTCTTGCCTTTTGCAACAACAATAGCAAAAGGAGTAAGGAAACATTGTCCTACTTTGCATATATATAGGGCTGTATTAAAGTCCACTTTTATTTGAGCTAACATAAAAATTTTCTTTCCCTTTGCCTATAGGACTATAGTTGAGGAGCAAAGGATAATAAATCCAGTACTGAGTCAAGGGGGACCTATTTCCAGAAGAGGTGACAGCTTTATCAAATATTGAATGAAAAGCTAACCTAACATACACGGATGTTGGTTTTATTGTTAAATTCCAGGTAGACAAAAATCTTCGCTTCATGATCTTGATGGATGGCGTTCATCCTGAGATGGACACCTGCATTATTGTGGAATACAAAGGTACTTTCTTATCCTCATCAACAATGAAAAATGAAAAATGTCACAGATAGGAAGGATAATAATAGCTAACCTAAATGTCATCCAGTGCTCACCTTCCCACTTCCTTTTCCATAGACTCTGCTATTGTTTATCCTTGTCTTAGAAAAATGGTCTTGCATTCAGATAATCTTTCTAGAAAAGAAATTAGCAGTAATATATATAAAGCAGTAGACATTCTGCATTTCACCTATAGTGATTTCTTAAAAGTGCCTTTTTTGATAAATGTCTTACTTCCATCTTGATTGTTATCATGTAATATAATCATACACATTCACCTGTGTGTTGGCGGCCTTCCATCTTCAACAATCCTCTGCATTGAGCTTTGGATGAAATTGCAAGAGGCTGAGCGATTTGTACTGCTCCTGTCACCCTCCCATTCAAATCTTTGGGCTCAGCCTCTGCAAAGAGTTGACTGAGCCAACTCCTCTTGCTTGCTATGATCCTGGAATGGAGTGGCGCTGAATTGGCCTTATGGGCTCTCAGGAACCCACTGAACTCAACGGGATTAAAATTCAAACCAAGTGATTAAAGACTTTAGGTTTTGCAATCTATGCTTTCCTGCTCCTTGGAATAAGCAATTATTTGTGAATGAAATGAGTCATGGGAGGCTGTTAGCTTGGGAATTCAAACAAGAGTTTTTGAGACCTCACTGTGAATACATGCCACTTAATTTTTCCACAGGTCATAAAATCCTCAATACAGTGGACTGTACCAGACCCAATGGGGGAAGGCTGCCTAAGAAGGTTGCTCTAATGATGAGTGATTTCGCTGGAGGAGCATCAGGTTTTCCAATGACTTTCAGTGGTGGAAAGTTTACTGGTAATATTTTAGATCTATTGATCCCAAGGACCGGCATTTAGCACTTGCTAAATGCTGTGCGAATAAATCAGTGGTAATTAAGACATGGCCCCTCTCCAAAAGAACCTTACAATCTTACTGGGAAGACAGACTTTGCAAATCATACATAAACTGAACTTTCCAGCACATTTGCTGATGGAGAATGAAAGAAACACTAAGGATATTATGGAGCTTCTCAGGAATAGTTAAGAAAAAGAAAGGCTTGAGTCATTTGGATCCCTGGTGTAGATCATAGAGCAGAACAGGTGGAAAGGTCTGATACCAATCATTTGGGCTGAAATGTTCTTGAACTGTGTTCAGATGTGAAGATGTGCAATTCAGGAATACTCACAGGGGAGGGGAACAGCCAGAGGAAGGCCCTCCAAAGTGTGGGGTGACTAGGGTCTGGGGATTTGGAAAATGATTAGATTGCAAATAATCACAATGCATCCCTTAAACTCAAAGCAATGTAATAGGTCAATTATATTCTAAACCTGGAAAAAAAAAATATGGGTCCAGGTGTTTCTGTTCTGGGTCTAAGGTTGATGCTGGGGTTGGCTGGGCGTTTATATTATTTCTTCATCTTGTTATCCTCAGTACTAGCATTGCAAGTGTTCAGTATATTTCAGTATGTTAATAAGTTAACATGTTTGGTAAGAGATTACTTAGTGAATTTACTAACTGAACTATACCACATCACAAGATGTGGAAGAAAACGCAATACATGCAGGATGAGGAAAGCTTCTATCCAGTTCCTTCCCTGTTCTACAAGTCTATGCTTGTTGCCTTCTAGAGTGCATGACCACGAGAGATAGCGAGTATTGCTGTCCTTAAAGCCTTAACTGTGACTGGAGAGACAAAATATACCAGTTAAAGGTTAGCTAGAATATTCCCCATTCGTGTATAAGTGTGTCTGTATGTGCATGCATGTACATTTTGAAAGGTCTGGAATATACCAAAATGTTAGTAATGGTTCTATCTAGGTAATGGGTAACTTTTGTTTTTTTCTGTATCCTTGCCCATGTTAATCAAATTTTCATAGTGAATACAGTGAAAATAGTTCCCTGACATGGGACCTCACATGCACTGGGCGGACCCCACCTAATTCCTCATTACAGTCTGTTTCCCTGTTGCTTGTCATGTATCAGCCCACATCAGTCTGCTTTTGCTCCTCACAGTCAACATGCCAAGTGCATCCCAGCCCAGGTCTTTGTATTTGGTCTTCCTGCTGTCTGGAGGGTCCTGATGTCCCTGCTGCCAGCAACTTCTCCCCTTCTCTGTTTGTATTTAATGGTCCAATATCATCTTCACAAACCACCCTCCACTCTACTCCACTTCACCGCAGCCATGTCACCTCTGCCCTATTTAATTTCTTCCTAGCTCCTCACTCTTTGAAATAACCTCATTTATTTATTTGTTCACTATTTGCTTCTCTCAGGGGCATGAGAGCATTTATCTTGTGCATCCCTGTATTCTCAGCGCTCACTGCTATGTCCGAGACGTAGGTCATCAGTCATTATTGACTGAATGAATGAGCAAATGGAAAAAGGAACAGCCTCGGAGGTAGGTATCAGGATTCCACTTTACAAAGGAGGAAAGAGGCGTAAAGCATTTAAGTAGTGGATCTCATTTTGATCCTAAGTCTTAATTGGCTCCACTATCCATGCTCTTGAGTGCTATGCATTGTCGGAGTGTGACAAACATGGACTCTACTTTTATAGCCCATCAGAGCAGTAAAGCCATTGCTATGTCAGTGGCCAGTTAATAATGATAAGACCTACAGAGCTCCTATCAGGTGCTGCATGCAGGAATAACTGTGCCTCCGGCCCTATGTGGTCCAGTAGGGTCTGAATGAATTTCCATAAACAAGCTCAGGGCTTCTGTCTTTGACTGGTGTGGCAATATTTTCCTAATTACCAGTTGGAATTTACAAAATAAAGTCTGGGGGAAACCATCCACTTGGCATGGAGTTCTGTTCTATTTCTTTGTTTGTCAAATTTGTCTCCTAATAGAGCTTAACCTACTAGAAATTTTTGTTTTCTGTGATTTCTGAACAGAGAAGACTCTAACCAAATCCTGTCATTCCAGAGGAATGGAAAGCTCAATTCATTAAAACAGAAAGGAAAAAGCTCCTGAACTACAAGGCTCAGCTGGTGAAGGACCTGCAACCCCGAATTTATTGCCCATTTGCTGGGTATTTCGTGGAATCCCACCCATCAGACAAGTATGACTGGACATTTGTACATTTTTTAAAATTTTATTTATTTATGCATACAGAACTGGAGTACAGGTCAGAGGTGTGGGGGCGGTGAGAGGATTCATCAGAGACAGAGTGGGGAGAAGAACAGGCAAGTTAATGAAGTACACTGCCGAGGGGAGCAGCGGGCGGGTCAGGAGAGGTCTGTGCGCCATGTGGGTCACCTCCGGGGCCGGGGACGGAACTCGCACTGAAGTGGCTGCAGCTCGCTTGCAGTGCTGTGCTATAACCCATTGCTCCACCAGGACAGACTCCATTTGTACATATTTTACATATAAGTCAGTGTGTGCTGGGATGAGTAATTTTGTTGTGACTACAATGTGAACTGAGAGTGACTATTTAGGAGCATAGAATGTATTTAACAGCAACCAGAGAACAAAGAGCAGAAATAAAAACTCTCCTTAGCAGTTACAGTTCAGATAGATTTTCTTTAAAGGATCCTTTAAAGGCAGTTGATTTGTGTTGAGTCTATGCTAGGAATTGAACCAAAGCTTTTAACTAAGTCATCTCAGTTAATCTTCCTAGTAACACTGGGAAGGATAGGTATTAGTATGCCTTTTTGCAGACAAGGATCCTGAAATTCAGGGAGGCCAAGGGTTTGGCCCAGTGTTACCATATAGGAAACAGTGGAGTTGAGAAGTATCTAATTCTAAACCTCTTTTCTTGGTAACACCCTTTGCCCCAAATAAAGAATATCAAATTGAAATTAATTTCTCATTTTGGGATAGCTGATACGAATATTTTACAATTATATAACTTGTAGATCGTTTTAAAGCATATTTTTGAAGTTGTCTTTGAGTATGTCACTGAAATGTTGACTTTTCATTGTAATGATAAAATGAATATTGATCATACCACTGGGTGTTACATACAATTTCATTAATGTGACCACTCACACTTATAGTTCTTTTTGTGGTCAGTTTGACACCAATCATTTAAAGAGTCAGCAGTGAACTGTCAATACAATATCATACAATACTGTCATACAAGAGTATGACCTGAAGTTTGAGAAACATTCTTTTAGTGCATCTTAACACTTTAGATTGAATTGTCCTTGGGACCTTTCCCACTCAAGGTACCTATGCTGTGGGTGTGTTTTTTTCCTTTCTCTTAAAACATATACTCTGTGATATAACAGAAAACAGCCAAAATTTCCTATGAACCACTACAGGCTGACCTAAAAATCTGCAAGGTTATTAGTTTGCTTTGAGATTTTGATTAGATCTGCTAGGACCACCTTGTCCAATATGGTAACCACAAGCCACGATGGCCAGAGCAATGGGGGATCTGAATTTTTAATTTTAGCTAATTCATATTTTCAGATTGACCCAATAAAGACATTGTCTGATAAATATACTTCAGTGTTTTAATTGAAGTGCATTTCACTTTAACCAATGCAGTTTGTAAGAAAGTACTGGTCTTGTGGGCATGTTAGATGTATGTGTCATGTCTAGATTACACACCGGCACATACTGATTTCGTTAGTATCAATGGATCAATTCATTTAGAATTATTTTTTTCTATACCGTGACAAAATGTTGTGATGTGTTTAGTTAAATATTCTGTGTAGATAGCTTGTGTTACAGTCATAATTATGTACATTTTCACTGGAAATTAGCTTGAAACACTAAGCTATAGTATGATTAAATTATTTTTAAGAAAAATATGGGTAACTGTTTACATTCAAATGGGGTCATATATTGATGTAGAATTTAGTGTAAATGGAGAACAGTACAGAGAAAAAGAAACTGGAAAAGATATAATGCAGATTGATAATGAATGGCAATTACAGTTTGTGTAAATAGAGGGAAAAACTGTATGTTTTAAAATAATGTGATTTACTGAGACATTTTCAGCAAATACATAAGGAGTCTGATGAAGCGTTTCAATAACCACAATGTTTCTTTGAAATTAACAAAGAAACAATAAATATCCAAAGCCATTTTTGTTTTTATTATTGTGACTGATTTGTGATGTAAGGGCTTGAAAAATTGTACTCAAAAGGAAATATGAAAATAATGTCAGAAGGAATCAGCAATATAAATTGTTAAATAGCTAAATGTGATCAAACTATATATAGCAGTAATATATTAAGCAAATAACACCAAAACCAAGTGAGGTTTGTTGAATGAATGCAAGATTTTTCCAACATGAGAAATGATCGATATAATTGAGTGTGTTATTTGACTTTAGAAGGTAAATCATATGATGCATGCAGGTGCTGAAAATGTTAACCCTACTTTGACAAATTATGTACATCAGATGACAGTTTCCTTAGTACAATTACATATGTAATTGTGTGTATGTAAATAAGAATGGGAGTCAGTCATGGAGAGGCCCCAGACATTCTAAATCAGGAATACAGTACTTAGAAGAGTCCAATAAGACCACATCAATGAAAGAGACATATAAAATGATCTAGGAAGTGAAACTATTGCTATTTTGCAGATGTCTGTCTAGAAAGTAAAATAAAGTCCACTGAAAAACTAGTCCAAGATATTAAACAATGGCTTCTTCATAGATGTAAATACATAAAAGACTTATTTGTGATAACAACCAAAAAGGAGAATGTATTGAGGAATAAATAAACCCAGATATACATTTAGGAAAGTCTTTTATCACGAAAACTTAACATGCCACTGAAAGGCACAGAAGAAAACCTATCAAGTGGGAAGACATGCTATGCTTTTGGTCTAGGTAGAAAAATGTTATCCTTTACCCTAAATTACTGCATAAGATTTATGTGACTCCCATATGAATAATATGTGTTTTGGGAAGTAAAGAAGTAGATTCGGAAATTTATTTGGGAGAAAAGCAATGTAATGACCCTCTGTCTAGGAGGAACACCACATCGTAAGACATACTGTAAGCCTCTGAATTAAAATTCAATGGGATTGCTGTATAAATGACCCATGGTACAGAATAAAAAGTACAAAAACAAATTTATATCCTCCTAGGGGGTTTAGTATGTGCTGTGGGTGGTATTTCTAAGCTCCAGTGGTAAAGATGGACAATTTAGTAAATTGCATTGGGCAAAGTTATTCAAAAGGTTTCTTAATTAGTGAAGATTTATCACTTCACTGCCTAAAAATAGAGCTCTTGTCATAAGTAGTTTTGAATCTTCTACATTTCAGCTATCTATGGAAAACTTAACTTTTATCATAATAGTACTTTAGCTATGTGGGCTTAAAATTCAGATATATGGGGATTTTAGAACAAGCTCTTTTTCATTTCCTCTTAACATTGCATGATATATTTTTTAAAACACTTGTACTAAGTTTTCTGAAATAACCGTAAAAGGAAAGTGTCCCAGATAGAGATGCCGAACTTGTTCACTGTGCCAATACTAATCACAGCAGCAGGAAGCAGCTAAACGAAGATCATCGACTTGGGCTCCCCATTTATTGAGTCATGGAAGATCTGTTCTGTTACCTTCCCACTGAATGTTTTCTGGAAAAAAAAAATGTTTGCCAAGTATTGGTTAACAAAAGATAAAAATTTGGCATTATGATGAGCATTTTCTGTCATATTTTACTGCCAGTGAACAAACTTGTAGCAACAAAGAATGGAACTGCGTATTTGTGAATATCATGTTGAAACTGAGTCTGCATGTTGAAGCATATCTTTTGCTAGTGCAAATCAGCAACAGTGATTTTAGGTACAATAAGATACCTTGCGAGAGAGATCATATACACAAAGCTTTCGTTAGAATATATTTTATTAGTTATTGTTGAGTTCCTACTTTGACTAATTTATAGTTAAACTTTATCATAGGTAAGAGAGAGATAGAGAGAGCATGTGTGTGTGTGTGTGTGTGTGTGTGTGTGTGTGTGTGTGTGTGTGGTTTGGTACTATTATGACTTCAGTTTCCACTGGGCATTTAAGAACATTTCCCTGTATGTAAGGGAAGCCTACTATATTGTCACTTTTCTGGTTGTTATTTGCATTCTCTGTAACTCATTTCTACGTACTTGAAATATTTATTGTACTTTACTGCTAATTAGCTATACCAGTTTTATTTTTGAACTTAAAAAACTCCAGATAACCTCTTTTACAGTGAAATAACATAACATGCTCTATTCAAAAGAAATCTTTACGACATTCCATCAAAGTAACAATGAGATACCCTTTCATACTGATTATAATAGCTATTATCCAAAAGATAAAAAAAAATAACAAGAGTGCTTGTTGGTGAGAATATGGAGAAAGGGGAATTCTTGCGCTGGTGGGAATGTAAATTGGAGCAGTCACTATTGGAAACAGTATGGAAGTTCCTCATGGGATGAAGTGTAGAACTATCAGTGATCCAGCAATTATACTTCTGGGTATGAGGAAACAGCCTCATTATGACTAAGAGATATAAATACCATCGTGCTTACTACAGTGTTGTTTATAGTAGTTAAGGCATGAAAATAATCATAAATCAACATATATATATACACACATATATGTATATATATAATTTCATATATATATATGGTGGTGGTGGTGATGGTGATGAAGTACTTCACCATAAAAAGAGCATACACCCTGCTATTTGCAATAACATGAATAGAACTTGAGGGCACTGGCCTAGTGAAATTAGTCAAAAAGACAAATACTGTATTATTTATGGAATCTGAAAAATAAGTCATGAAAAAAGGGCTAATTTGTGGTTACCAGAGAAGGGTGAGGATGGTGGTGGTGGGGGATTGGATGAAGGTGGTTGAAAGGTATAAACTTGCAATTATAAGCTACAGAAGTACTGGGGATGCAATGGACAAGGTGACTGCAGTATGTGGTCATTGCTAAGGAGGTAGATCCTGAAAGTTCTCAAAAGGAAAAAATATGCTTTCCTTCTACATAAATGAAATGATGATGAATTTTAGCAAAAATGTTGACATGCTCATTTTGCAATACATGTAAGTCGGGTCATTATGCTGACTTATACAGTGCTGAATGCCAGTTATATCTCAGTTAACCTAAAAGGAATAAACTTCAATGGTTACACTAAATGGAATGCTAAGAAGTATTGAGCCTAATCCAAAGGAAGGCAAAAAGAGGATCAAAGACAGAGAAATGAAAAACAGATAAAACAAACAGAAAGTATGAAAATAGGTAAACATAAACCATTACATTAAATGAAATAGTCCACAGACAGATGAGTTAAACCATTCACTTGAACCTTCCAGACCAGCGCTGGCTGCTCTCAGCTGAATAACATTGACCAATCCCTGTCAGCACCATACAGAATAAAAGAATCCTCATGCAACACCATCTGAATTCATGGCCAATGAAATTTTGAGATATAAAATGACTGTCACTTAAAAAAAATAAACATGGTCTAAATATACCAGTTGAAAGAGAGACTGTGAGAGTGGAAAAAAGAACAAGACCCAACTCTATGCTGTCTATAAGAAACCCACTTAAATAATGTTGATAGTAAGTGGAGAGTAGAAGAATGAGGGAGCTCTACCATGCAAGAAGTGATATTAATATAGTGCAAAGTAGGCTTCAGGGCAAAAATCACTGACAGGGAATAATATACCTAAAAGATACAAGGTTAAATAGGTTTACCTAGAACATCAGATTCTTCAAGTACAGGAAACAAAAACATATAAAACTGAAAGGAAGTGGAAACTCAAATTAGTTGGAATCTTTAACATTCCTGTTTCAGTAATTGATAGAAGAATAACAAAGAAAATTCTCAAGGCAAAAGAAAAAAAACTCACACCATATATTGGATTTGGTGACTTATATAGAAAATCCCACCCGAAAACAGCAGAATCTGCATTCTAGTCAAGAACAAACATTAAAATAGATGCTATATTCCAGGTCATGAAAGAAATCTTAACAGACTTAAAATTGGATAGAAATTATGTTCTCTTTGCATACTGGAGTTAGGCTAGAAGTCAAGATAGTAAGAAAATCCCCTAATACTTAAATATTGAATAATATATTTTCTTTTTTTTTTAAGATTTATCCATTTATACATACAGAACTGGGGTACAGACCAGAGGTACAGGGAGTAAGAAAATGCATCAGAACAGAATAGGGAGCAGAACAGGCAGATGGATTGAAATACACTGCTGACGGGAGCAGCAAGCAGGTCTGGAGAGGTCTGCCATGCCACGTGGGTCACCTTCCTGGTCGGAGATTGAACTCAGGCTTCAGTGGCAGTGACAGCTTCATAGTGCTGTGCTTCAACCTGTTAAGCCACCAGGCAGGATGCAGAATAACATATTTCTAAGTAGTCCATCAGACAATGAGGCAGTCTCATTGGAAATTAGAAAATATTTTGAATTGTAAAAAAGAGAGCAAAACTTGTGAGATACTATTAAGTAAGTGCTTAGGGGAAAATTTATAGTATTATGCATACTTAATAATGAAGAAAGTGCTCACTTTAAAAAACTGAAAACCTGAACAAAAATATACTAAAGTAAGTAGAAGAAACAATGAAGACAGTAGCAGAAGTCAATGAAGTTATTAAAAAGCAGAGAAACAGTGAAAATATTGACCCTTACAAAATATTAATAGTATCAGTTGACCTCTAGTCAGAATGATGCAGAAGAAATGAGACATTTATCAGAAGAAAACTGTTATCTCTACAGATCTCACAGACATTAAATAAAAACGACAAAGGAATATTACAAGCAATTCTGTGTATGTAAATTAAGGTACTTAGATGAAATGGAAAATTCCTTGAAAGTCACAAATGTCTGAGTCTCCAAGAGGATGTAGATATTCGTGTGTCTATTTAGGAAATTTAATCCATAGATTAAAATTTTCCAAAAAGGAAAAATCCAGACCAACCCAGATCACTGGCAAATTCTATTAATCTTTCAAAGAATAAAACTGCAATCTGGTGCTCTTCATAAATGTTTTACAGCAAAAATTCCCAATGAAATACTAGCAGATCACGTCAAGCACAATAAAAATCAATATGACTGGCTTAAACTAGTAGTCCATTATACTAACAAAAAAATCATATGATCATATGAACTGATGCAGAAAAAGCGCTTGGCAAAATTCAACATCTATTTATGGTATGGTTACCAGAGGGAAGAGGAAAAGAGTGGAGGGCTTGGTGAGGGAGGTAAATGGCATGTGGACATGGGTGATTTGGTGGTGGCGAGGGGAAGATGAAATACTCATGATAAAAATCAAATCAAAACAACACACAAGCATTTTTGGCAAACCAAAAACAGAAAAGAATGTCCCTAAAGTTAATAGCGGGCACATTAACATACCCACAGGAACATAGTACTTAATAAAGAATACTGTCCTATAATTTTGGTAGGAAGACAAAAGTGATTACAATCATGCTGGAAGTTCTAGCCACTGCAAAAAACGCAAGGAAACCAGATAAATGGATGCAAGCTGGAAGCAAGCAATGAAAATCGTTCACAAACACCATCATTTTGTAATCAAAACAAAAACTCAGTACTAATTTGGCAAAACGTTTCAATGTTCTGCCCCCCAGAAGATATATAGAAGCAAATAAAGTAAGAAAAGATGTGTCTGTCTCATTAACCACTAGGGAAATGCAGATTAAAACCACAATAAAGTAGAAGTAAGATTAACATTTTGGAAAATTGACAGTTTCTCATTATGAGAGGATAAAGAGCAGAAGGACCTCTCACATGTTGCTGTTGAGAATTCAGAATGTATGGTCATCTGGAAAAGTTTGGCTATTTCTTTAAATATGTATTTATTATATTACCCAGAAATTCTATTCCTAGATATTTCTTCTAGAGAATTAAAGTGCTCTTCACACATAAAACTATTATAAAAACATAAATATAAAAATATAAAAACTATGATAAAACATATTCACAGCAATTCTATTCATAGTTACCAAATCAACTCAAATGTCCAGCAGATGAATGGGTAAACCATGCTGCATCCATACCCTGGGGTATAGTAAATATTGAAATACCCAGGAGTGTAGATGACTCTCAGAGGCATTGGCTAAGAGATCAGTATCAAAAAGTTACATCATTTATTATTTCATTTACATGACAAAAAACGAAAGGCAAAACTTCAAGTCTGAGAACAGCAGTGACTGCCAGGGGTTGGATTGAGGGTTTGACCTGATGGGGCAACATGAGGGCGTTTGGGGGTGATGGAGCTGCATGTACCATGATTATATTAGTGTGTCTACAAATCTATCCATGTGTTAAATTTCATGACGCTGTTGCCAGAAACTGTTCACAAATCATATCTAAATTTTAAGTTAAAAAGCAATTATTCTTTACACTGTTAGTCATGGTAGTTAAAAACTCACATGTTTAAGTCATAATTGATGGTGCAATTAAGTTGTATCACAACTCTACAAACACACTTTATAGAACTCATGCCCCTTGGGGAAAAATGAACAATTTATTCAGTTTCATATTTGAGGCATGGTTTTATTATTTTAAATGTTAAGACCTTATAGATGTTTTATTTTTTTACTTTTATTTATGCATACAAGACCTGGAGTATAGGCCAGAGGTGGAGTGGGGGGTGTGGTGGTGGTGAGAGGCTTCACCAGAGACAGCATGGGGAGCAGAACAGGCAGATCGACGAAGTACACTGCTGAAGGGAGCAGCGGGCAAGACAGGCGAGGTGAGGTCTGCTGTGCCATATGTGGGTCACCTCCCTGGGTGGGGATATAAAATATGTTTGATCCTTAGTACCTGCGGTATAGCAACCCCTAACTCTGACACTGTTTTATGAGCGAATACCAGCTGCTTCCTGGGGAGCCACGTTATGAGCCAATCTTGGGAGAATATTGTTTACTGTATTTACCAGGATGGGGACTGCCTACCTGCAGACAGGGACTGTGTATGTCATGATAGTACACTTAGCTGGAAATTTATTGTATAATAAAGAGATCAGTCCTTAACATAAGTTTTCATGCCAATAATAAGGAACAGTGATGATTTCCTACCCACTGAGGTCAACACAGTGCAGCAGGAGAGAGTGGACAGGAAATTTAGGTTCTCCTACCACTACTTTTTAGGACTGATTCTTTGACATCTCTGGGCCTTGCTTGTCTCATCATTAAAACCTGACTTTTCACTTTGAGTTCTTCCATGTTCCCATGGAGTCATTTTCCATGGCTTCTGGTGACCTATCTACATGTGTCTAATCACTTCTGTGTTTCTTTTTAACCTGCTTGTTGACATAGTATTTAGTCATAGTTGATAGTATTTAGCTATCTCATACCCGGTATATTTTCCAGAAAGGCTGGCCTAAGGTTAAAAAATCAAGATTTCATATGACTAATGCTGTTTTTATTTTCCCATTTATCATTTACTAAGCAGTACTGTGCTAGGTACTAGAGAACAAGAGGTGAAACGACTACTTTGGGATTTAGAGTCTTTTGGAGGAGAAAAAAATGATAATACAGAATGATAAGAGGCATAATACTTGTATGTTCTCCAACCACTATGTGATTATATTTAAGAACAAAGTGTAACTACAACCTTCTTTGACCGATCACTCTTCCTTAAGAGTTATTCGCAATATGTTCTTTATTTTGTGTGGGTAAGTGAAAGGAATTACAAATGCAAGGAAAAATACTATATCCCATTAATCAAAAGGTGTATGTGTAAGAGACTAAATGTTCTTACATGGGAATGTTCTTGTTTCTCAGGTATATTAAAGAAACAAACATCAAAAATGACCCTATTGAACTCAACAACCTTATCAAGAAAAACTCTGATGTGTTAACATGGACCCCACGACCTGGAGCCACTCTTGACCTGGCTAGGATGCTGAAGGACCCAACAGACAGGTTTGGCTTAAATATGTGTAGAGAACAAATATGACTTATAACTTTTCTCAATTTTCTGATAAAATAGGAGAAATCTGTGACCCTTGAAGGGCCCTTTTGTAAACATAGTAATTTTTACTGGCTAGCATACTGAGCTGTTATAACATCCACATATTCTTATAGAAACCATATTCTTAGAAACCTTACTCTTAAAAAAAAAAGCTATTAAGTATCTCTCAAATTAGGAGACTGGGTCAGAAAGACTGAGTTTTTTCCCAAAATTTTTCATCCCACATAATTATTAGATGTTTTCCTCTTTTTGGACCTAACTTGAGAATAGGGGTTTGGAAATTTTTTTCTATTAAGGAACACTGATACAGCTCAAAAATAAATTGTTTCCTGCAAATATAAAGCAATAAACAGAGAAGATTGTTTTCATGTCAGCACAAACAACACTCAACCACCTATTATGTACTTGGAAAGTTTGAAGAAGTAATTAGTTTGAACAAGTAATAATTATACTGGTCGTGCCATTAAAAGAAATTTAATGCTAGTGTCAGCTATACTTTATAAACATTTGTCTTGAACCAAGTGGAGCTCAAGGTCCTCATCCTTAATGAGAACTGGAATAATGGGGTCAAAGAGTGGTGTCCACAATCATCAAAAGTACACCCCTCCTACCCTTACCTCCACAAAGTCAATATAAATGGCTTAGCCACTAAATGCCTCCTTTTTGCTAATTTCCTGTATCAAGCTAGTTGTCAGATCTGGTCAGTTCAACCTGAGGTATTTATCTCATAAACCCATGCCTCTGCTCCAGCCTCTGCTGCTGTGGCCTTAAAGTGTCTCATAACAATTTTTCATCTTAGTTCCTGCTGTGGCCTTTGATTTGTTTCTGCACCACCTTCCTTGGTCTTACTTGGCACACTGTCCATGCCAGCCTTTTCCAGTCTGCTGGTCACAGTCCATTAGTGGGCCATAATGAATGGTACTGATCACAGTCAGCATTTAAAATAAAAGAAATAGGATAGAACATGATAATCTGTATGTCAATTCTTGTTCCTGTACCATGCAGTTTTGATTATTATTGCTTTGTAGTATAGCTTGAAGTCTGGGAGTGCTTCCGTTTGCTTTCATTTTAGTCAGGAGCGTTTTGGTTATTCAAGGTGTTTTGTGGTGCCATATAAATCTCATCAATATTTGTCTGTTTCTTTGAAGAATGTCATTTATATTCTTATTGGAATAGCATTAAATCTATATATTGCTTTTGCTAGGATGGCCATTTGAATGATGATAATTCTTCCAATCCATGAGCAGGGATATCTTTCCATTTCTTTGTATATTCTTGTATTTCTTTTAACCATGTTTTATAATTTTCTTTGTATCGGTCTTTTACCTCTTTGGTTAGGTTTATTCCCAAGTACTTGATTTTTTTATTTGTTTTTTATTTTGTTTCTATTGTAAAGGGGATTTTTTTTTAAATTTCCATTTCTTCTGGTTAGTTGTTTGTCTATAGGAAGGCTACTGACTTTTGTGTGTTGATTTGACATCCTGCTACCATACTAAACTGGTTAATTGTTATGATTAGTTTTTCTCTGGAGTTTTTAAGGGTTTTCCATGTAAATTATCATAGCATCTGCAAATAAAGATAGTTTTACTTCTTCTTTCCCTCTTTGGATTCCTTATATGTCTTTTCCCTGTTTTACTGCTCTGGCTAGAACTTCCAGTATTATGTTGAAGAGCAGTGGTGATAGTGGACATCTTTAAATGAAAGGCTTTCAGCTTTTCTCCGTTGAGGATAATAATGGCTGTGGGTTTTTATATGGCTTTTATCATGTTGAGGAATGTTCCTTCTACTCTGAAGATTTCGAGGGCCTTAAACATAAGTGGATGTTGAACTTTGTCAAATGCCTTCTCTGAATCCATTGATATGATTATATGGTTTTTATTTTTTGTCATTTGATGTGATGGATTACATTAATTGATTTTTGGATGTTGAACAATCCTGTGCTGCTGGAATAAAACCATTTTGGTTGTGGTGTATTATTCTTTTAATGCATGGTTGGATTCTGCTTGCTAAGATTTTATTGAAGATTTTTGTATCAGTGTTTATCAGGAAGATTGGTCTGAAGTTATTTTTTTGTGTGTGTTTCTTTTTTGTCTAATAAATAAAAATTATAAGAAGAGTAGAATATGACAGAATAGAATAGAGTCAAGTCTAATCAAATTGAATCAATAGAATAGCAAAAAGAAAAGAGCAGAACAGATCTGAGTACATCTATATAAGTAACTTAGTGTTTCTGGAAATGTGTTTCACAGGCGCCCTTGGTATGTGAATCCTAAGGTCCTGATATAAAATGTGATTCTCACTGAAACGTATACAAAAAAGTTTGAAAGTCCCCACTCTCTGTTGCTTGCTACCAGACTGATTTTGCATGTTCTTACAGTGACTAAAATTCATTAGGACATGCCCAAAGCTTTGAGGGTAGAGGTGGTTTTCTATTATCCAGAAAGATGAGACTGGCTTTTAAATTTGATGTATGAATTATTTCAGGTATTAGCCGGCATCAAAAGCCTCTGTCCTTCTTCATTTACTGAATTATGCATCCTCTCTCATGTCCTTCAGACTTATTTTACAGCAGTAACTCTCAGACTTTAAGTAGCATCAGAACAGCCTGCGGAACTTGTATAAATGCAGACCCATGGTTCTTCCCCTAGAGATCCTGATTCTGTAAATTTGAAGTAGAGCACAGGAACTTGCATGTATTACTTTGTGTCACACAAGAGCATTCTGGGTAATAAAAGGTTTTCCATAGTGAGACTGTGGATAATACAGTTTAACTCTGCCTAGAGAGAGAAGAGAACAGGAAATATGCCAAGAAACACTCAATCTGTGGTGCTTCAGCTGGTCTTAGAGGTGAAGAGATGCTTCAAAGAGTTCAAAGAGGGAGAAAGAGAGACTCAGAGATTCCCTCAGAGGGAATGGCTGGTGTGGGAGATGGGAGGTATCAATAATAGCATGAAAGACGATACTTTGCATAAATGAATAAATATATGCTGATCATTCAGTAATGATTTATTAAACTCCTCCTATCTACCAGATATCATACTAGGCACAGGGATACAGTTGTAGAAAAGTCCTTCCCGCACAAAGCCACCCATCTACCTGAGAATAGCTTGGTAAGTGAAGGGGAAAGCAATGGATGAGGCAGGCATGGTACGTTTGGGCTAGGGCTAGAGAGACCTGGTGAGACCCTCCCAGGACCTTGCTTCTAAGTAAGAAGAGCTTGAGAAAGTTATTCAGCAAATAAGCAGCCTTGCTGTGTTGTGTTCCAGAAAAATCATTTCCATTTTCAGAGGACGATTTCCAAGGGAGGCGGCAATAGTTAAAACAACTAGAGTTAGGGAGGCCCACTGGGAGGCTGTGGTCACTCCAGAAGAGAATATGAGACTTTAACCTGATGGGAAGCATGAAGATGGATTGTCCCATGAAATGTGTGATGTTGAGGCCTGAGAAGGGGAACAGGATGTGAATAGGGAATGGAAATGAGGAGGAAATAGGCACCTGCCTAGTGAGCTTTGGCATAGGCTAGGTGTCTGTGTTGCTCTTCTGCAAACAAAACTTGTCATTTCAAAAGATAAGCTCAAAGGCTTCAGATACTCAACAAGTGTTTATTGAACCCCACGTTTTCTGGAGGTGGCAGGTGGTATGAGTGAACAGACCTGACCGCATATCGTCCCTATTACCTAGTCAGTTGAAGCAACAGAGTTCAAACCAGTGGGCTTTTGATCTTTTTCCAGACACATGCTTTTATCTTCGGGTGAAATCTGCCGAAAAACCACCACACTAACCATGAACAGGAGGAACAGCAGACAGTAGCTGCTCTGGTTTCCACTAGGGTCGGGGTGCGTCTGTGGGACAATAGGAATCATCTGAGCAGTCTTAAAGCTACTTTGCTGGATAACTCTTGATATTTAAGTGCTAACTTTTGCCTGACTTATTCATATCTTTTTCTCACTGTTGTTTTGTCTTTAAGCAAGTGCATCATAGAGCCTCCAGCAGGAACTAAAATTTACAAAGATTCCTGGAACTTTGAACCATACTTGGAGACTTTGACAGCTGCTGTAGGAGATGAAATATTTCGTCACTCATCCTGGATAAAAAAATACTTCACTTGGGCTGGATTTAAGAATTATAACCTGGTGGTCAGGGTAGGCTCTAAATGATATCTGTGTCTGCTTTCTGGTATTCTGGAAAATTCTGAGAAGTTCTTATTTCTCAGTAAGCATTCCTGAAGCCTTACCAACTTCGTAACAAAGAACAGATTTGACGATGGCAGATTTGACAAGTGTTCCCAAGCCCAGTTCAGTTTCTCTTCTATAGCACGCCTTCCCGCCTATCAACATGTGCTAGATATCACGGTTTGTGTTTTGTTTTTATCAGTTTTACCTGACCTGGCAGCAACAGCTATTTCAACTGGAAGGTCGACTCCACCTGACAGGTGGGATCTAGCAGGCAATTCTTTTTTTTTTTTTTTTTGTTATTAAAAAGTTTATTTTTACATTGTTTTGCACATTTTTTTTTCCATCTCAATTGTAATCCCCGCGGGTTTCCCATCACCAAATCACCCCTGTGCCACCACCATAGTCCCGTGCATTTCCCTCCCTTCCCCCCGCCCCCGTTTTTGATCCCATTCCCCACTCCACCCCCACAGAATGTCTCTGGTATATGGTTGTTCATTATTTTTGTTATTTTCTCGCCTGGTCCATTATACTCCTCTAGTAGGCAATTCTTACCTGTGCTGTGGTCAGGACTAAACTCCACAAACCAAGAGGTTAATTTCTAGATCTAGTCTGTGGATGTAGAACTTAAATTAGCCTCAGCACATACACCCAGAGCCCACAAGCCACGAGGTCCAGGTTATTACTTGGTCACTCAGGTTATAAGTGTGTACCTTTATCCAAAATCAATTTAAGTTCTAAGAGGCATGGGTGCAAGAAAGAAAAGGCCTAAAGTGGGCTGGGAGCAAGTAGCCACTTGTATATTTAGTGCCTGGATCATGCACGGGGAGATGCTGGGAAATTGTCAATATTCACACTCTTAAAGACAGGAACCCAGGAGCTGCAGAGTAAACTATTCTCCAGGGTCACCTTTCAATTCCTGCCTGTTAATACCAGGGAACTCGCCATTCTCGAAGGCGGTGGTACCCAAAAGCCTACTTAGGGGTCAATGTCAGTCTGTGACAAAGATTTTTCTGGCGATGGAGTATGTGTATGACTGTGTTACAAAAAAGTCGGCCCTTCTTGGGATGAAATGTCAGCTCTTGTTGAGACCACCATAAGCAGGTCCTTTCTGTGTTTGAGGTGCCAAAATATTCTTCCTTTAATGAAATAAAGGAAGGTAAGAATTTTGTAGAAGACCTCTTTGGTGAAGTAAAATACTGGTGCCTATGTTAGCTTCTGACTATTTTTTAGGAAATTGATTTTGCAATCCAAAGACCTTAGAAATACTGTTGTGAGTGATATTTTCAGTTAAAAGTTAATATAAAAAAGAGGGAACATTTGGAATTTTTAAGGAAACTACATGTGTTTAGCAGCTGTTTGATGACGAGAAACATGTCCTTTTTATTCCTTACCTTGCAAATTTATAATTGCATTTAATATCTCATTACTAGTAGTACTTAAGATAATGATAACCTTCTCTATAAATGCTATGAATTTGTCTATATATCTGGGGAAGGGGGGATACATGTCACCCCATGTGGAATGGCTTCATTTACCCTTCCCAAAAAATCCTTTGTCAATGACTTACCCCTTTCCTTCCCCCCACCCCAGGTTCCCTTTGAAAAGTGTCTAAGAATTATTTCTGTTGTGTTTTGCCAGTTCATTCTCTTTGCTTATTTATATTACACAAATAGGTGAAACCATTCAGAATCTGTCTTTTACTAGCTGACTTATTTCACTTAATATAATCACCTCAAGAGCTGTCCATTTTGTCCCAAAAGGCACTATTTCATTTTCTTTCTCCGTAAATTTGACTGTGGTTAGTGATATGAGGCAGTTTTCTAGTATCGATGACTAGGATTTGAATGTCACTGTATCCGGAAGGCCAGAGTTCGGGTCACCTGCCACCACTGAATGCCAGTAAAGTAGAGACAGGAACTGAATCTTTAAAGTGCACTTTAATCAGACAGCCGGCAATCTGGAAGATGGGGGGTTAACACCCTAATGTGCCCGCCTCAACATTTCATTTCCAGCTGGCTTTTATAGTGAGTTGCACAAAGACAGTTCAGCAGTAAGTGGCCTTCACTGCTGCCAGGGACTTGCTGTCCAGCTCCCTCTCGCCCTCCTGGACACCTGGCCTCTGACCCGTCCTGCCGTGACACTGGTCTTTAGAGAGCTCTGGCTCCCGCCTACTCCAGACGTGTCCTTGGGCTGGAAAATGAACTCAGAGCAGCCGGGCCATGAGCAATGTGTGTGTGCAGATTTCCCCCTACACCAGCTTAGGGTCTCCCGATCTCCCTCTCCCTAACCTCTATCACCAGCAGTTCGGAAGTGTGGGCGGGGAGGAGGAGAAGGGATGGGGAATAGAGACAGAGTAGAACTCTTTTTATAATAATTCCATTTTTTGGCTGTCACTTATGGGCACCTGGGGCTTGTACATTGTAGAGCGTTTTAAAAACCTTGGCCACAGATTGATAGACTTCTTCCCTTTGACCATGTTTTTGCAGATGATTGAGACTGATGATCACTTTAACCCCTTTCCTGGAGGATATGACTATTTGGTTGACTTTCTAGACTTATCTTTCCCAAAGCAAAGACCAAGCCGGGAGCATCCCTATGAGGAAGTAAGTAGCCACACTGGTGGCTGTGGCCCCTTTCTTCCTCCTCGGCGCCTCCTCCTCTGTTCTCCCTCCCACGCCCTCCCTCTCCCCTCCTTTACCTTCCTCTTCTCCTCCTCTTCCTCCTCTTCCCCCTTCTTCCTTCCTTCCCTTACTTTCTTACATTTTAAGTAAACTCTTTTAGAACAACTTCATATTTACAGATGAGTTGCTAGGACAGAGAATATAGTCAATATTTTTCTTCACTCTGGCATCTTTCCCTCCCTTCCTCCTTATCCCTTTCTAGTTCCAGATGCCATCCCATACCTTAGACTTTGCAAGGAGACAAAAATTCAGTGAGAGCACTCAAAGTGGGGGCACTTTTTCATCATCTCGGAGTTTCCAGTGTTCACCTGGCCGGAAGTATCACAGTGAGCCAGTGTTGAAACCTACGTAGTAGCTAAAGTCAGTTAATACCTAAAATGGCTTCTCTTTGAGCCGTTTGCGAAGATGGGTTTCTCTTCCTGCTTTCTTCCAAACAGCTGCCCTTCCCGGCTGGTACCACAGCAGCAAGCATTGCTCTCGGTCCTCCTTTGCCTTCTCTCCACACGGTGGCCTTTCCAGGTCAACTCCCAGGTGGCTCTGTGAAGAGAGCGAGTCTACAGAAAGCACGCTTGTTTTCACTTTAGCAGCATTTTTGTGAAAGTCCAGTAACATGATCAATGTGAGCATTGCATTGTAATTTTAAATTCTCTATGAACACATGCATCATGAAATCTGGACACTGTACAGTCTGCCCTTCCCACTTACTACTTGTATCATATAAATGTGATGCCAAACTCATAGAGATTTAGATGCCCCTTGGACTAGTTGTGTCTTTAAACTACATTTTAATGATTTGACCAGCATTTTTATGTTTAGGAAAGTGTTTGCTACTAGCTAGGGTTCTATGCTAAAACTTCAGCAGAACCAATAATTCACCGCCTACTTTACGGGTTTAGTTAACTGGATTTTCACATATAATCAGGCCCTATGTGAAGCTCCCATTTCAAGCAAGATGGAGCTGTTGCATGTATTACTTTCGTTAACAAACAGTGACATTTTTGTGCACCAGATGCAACTTTAAGACACTTTATAAATATCAGTAAGTTACTTAATCTTACAATAACCTTAGGAACAGATGTGACTCTAGTCTCCATTGATAGGTGGAGAAAATGCTGTCCCAGTAAATAACACAGCTCATGTAGCCAGTAAATTGTACTTCAGGGGGTTGACCTCCAGTCGTCTGGCTCCAGAGACTATCAGTTCTCCACTGCTGAGGTTTAAATGTGAACATACAAAACTATAAATTCAGCTGTTAGCCTCAAAGGAGATTCATCTTTGAAATTCTTAAAACAACATTTGAAACCATTCAGTTGAAAACACTTTCTCACAGCTTTTCATAAAATAAACCTTGGGGCGCCTCATCTTGCCTGTACAAGATGGTCTGTGTTGTGGCCCTCAAAGCTTTAATCTCCCTGGCGGTAGTGAGATTTCTGCTTTCTGCACGTGGAGCTTTGCTTCCAGAGTCCAGAGCTATGCTTGTCCTGAGAAAAACTTGTTGCCTTTTTTTTTTTTTTTTTTTTTTAGCATTGCCTTTCAAACTCACAAGTAATTTTTCTATCTTAAGTTAGAAAACAAAAAGGCTCTGTCCTCTCTAGGGTTCCGGGAGCTCTCACACCTCCTGCTCCAGTGTGGATGGCCCTCTAGCCCTGCTTCAGTCACCATGTGTCTTCACCCTTGTCCTCACCTTCTGCCTTTACTCCTCTGTGCAACGTTCTGCTTAAGCAATTGCCAAAGAAAAGGCACACCTGAGGTCAACTTGAAGCACTTTCAATCTCATGTCGCCTGAAGGTTTTCTGCAGACACCCGAGGCAGCGCTCCTTGGGCTTCTGTTTGCACACAGCCTTGCTTGCTCCGCACTGATCGCTCTCTCTTTGTAGGTGACTTGTAATCTTTAATTACCAAGAAAAAAAAATAAAGGCTTTTCAAGATGATTTGAGGAGTCTCTGCACCCGTGTAGGATTTTTTTTTTTTTTTTAATCTTCGGCTTTAGTTGAAAACAGGAATTACACAAACTGGGTTAAGGCCATTCTTGTAAATGAATGAGCTGGCTGGGAACCATTTTGCATGGAAAATAAATGCCAGCTTGAAATCATCAGGAATGAACATGTTTCCGGTTCTCTAATTCATGGAGAGAAGAATAAAGTTCTTCAAATTATGCAAAGATAGACACCTTTCTATGAATAATACAAAGGATTACTATTTTTCCATATTCTGATATCATAGAAAAAAAATACAAGCATGTTTTAGTTCTGCTCACAAAATGCACTTTCACATTGTTGCAGGCGTGGTTGGCTAAAATGAAAGGTTTTCTTGAATTCAAAAAACACACTAAAGAGTATCATTTCAAACAAGAACTCATTAAAATTACATTACTCTCCAGTAAGCCCATTCAATCCTGTGTAGAAAATTCTCAGTCTTGAGTTCCATTAGCATGAGTCAGGAGCTTTAGGGGACATGCGGATTACTGTACTAGGTATGATGCCCTTCCTACCTCCCTATCCCCTTCTAGTTCCAGATGCCATCCCATACCTGAGACTTTGCAAGGAGACGAAAATCCAGTGAGAGCACTTATACAGGGAGGCACTTTTTCATCATCTCAGGGTTTCCAGTGTTCATCCGGCCGGAAGTATCCTGTGACAGAAGCTGAAAGAGCAAAACCTAAAAATCAAAGAACAAATCAAGTTTCCAAACCAGGAAGGATGACAGCAAAAAGATCAAAATCTGGTGTCAGTGCCTCATGCAAAAGTAATCAGAGGCTAAAAAAAAAAAAAAAAAGTAATCAGAGGCTGCCAGTTACATTGGAGTTTCCAGAGTACATTTCCAGTGCAATCAGAGGGCTTTAATCATCAAATAGATTCATCAAATAATTTAATTATCAAAGCAGACCTTCCTTGGTAGGAAGCCAGAATCTTAAACTGTCATTCATAAACATCAAATAAATTAAAAAATTGAAGTGACAAATATGCCCCAAACAAATTGTGTAGACAGTTCCCAGTCGTGATCTGTTTCAAAGGGGATAAGAGTGCTTAAAATTTTCTGATCCAGACCTTACAAAATCCATTCACTCCAGAAGTGCACTAGGGCTACATCATAAATCACTAGATATTTCTCACTCGTGAGGCTTCATTTGACTTAGTTGGTCTCAACCCCCAGGCAAGGATTTTCTAGTTTGAACAATTAATGAGCCACAGTTGGCCACATCCTAAGCTGTAAAAACAACTTGAGGCTCAACCCAGCAGAAATCAGGAAATTGTCACAAACAAAAGCCCAGAGTCACAGCATTTAACACAGGCTAACAGAGTCATACAAACTGAAAAATAAAATCTCAGGAGACTAGAAGGAAAGAATCAAGCTTCTTCTGAGTTCCATTATGGAAACCTTAGATGTCTGAAAGAAGTTCGTTAGCACAGGGCTTCCGGTGGACACCATCTTGCACCTCCCAAGTGTGCTTTCAGACATCTTCTTGAGAGTACTTAGAAAGCAAAGAAACAAAACTACTTACTCCCATGCTGAAAGACATCGATAAAGACAAATCTCTGAACTAATGACTGGAAATGAATTGCACACAAATCCTGCACAAGTCAAAGCCAGTGTTTCTAATCTAAGAATATCTGAAACAAAGAGATACACACAAACACACTAAACAAAAATCATATTTGCATTTAGGGGAGTGGGTGCTTTCGGGAAGCTTCCCCATAGGGCTGACCAACCTGGGTGGCTTTTCTCATCAGGAAGCCAAATTTGTAACTGCACAACCCAGAGGTTCCGAAAGACTCCACGTTGTTAAGGGAAAAGCCTGCTTTGCCTCTTTTGAGGGTCTAGCCATGTGTACATACAAAAAGCAAAGAAAGCAGACTCTTTGTGTGCTTAAGAATATCTTTAATCATTGGGAAAATCTGAAGGGCATAGAGAAGAAAGGATTTCAAGCAACCACCTTCTGAGCAAATCCCCAAATCCCCATCCCCTGTGGGCAAATGCCTAGCCAGATAGGCTGAGCACAAAGTGGGGCAGTTGAGCCCCACAAAATAGCCATGAGTCTAAGACAACTTCTGGTGGGGAACCTCAAGAAAGGGGTTGGCGAATCCTAGAGAAACGGGACAGGAAGAGATATCCCAGATTCAAAGTGTACCATATTATCCACCACGGGTCAGGCTAACAGCCGCCATTGTCTCTGCCAAACAGCTGACGTTCCAGGGGCAGCTTCTCCACACATGTGCCCCATGTCTCTCCCAAAGGTCCCTCCAAGTGTCTCCTTCCTCCTTTATGCCTCCTCAGCCACCTTGCTCCTTCCCAGCTACCCCCATCAGGAAGTCTGCTTCATGGCACACTGGGAATTGTAACCCAAGGTGGAGAATGGTGCCTGTCACTGTGCTGGGGTGCCTTGCCCGCTTCCATGGGGATGCCCCTGCAAGCAGGCCAGCAGGCTGTCTCTGTCCTCAGCTGTGTGCCCTCTGCTCCTGATTCATCTCCTGTTTTCTTTCCTCAGTTTCTCCTGCGCCCTGGGCTCTTAATAGATATTCCCCTGTACTTTTCTCTATGATGCCCCCAAGTCTCCCAGCCACGATAGACAGCTTTGTCTCCCAAGACACCAGGGGACCATACTCTGTGCTGGCTGGGTCACCTCTGTTAGTTGTTGATGTCTGTTTCAGATTCGGAGCCGGGTTGATGTCATCAGACACGTGGTGAAGAATGGTCTTCTCTGGGATGATTTGTATATAGGATTCCAAACCCGGCTGCAGCGGGACCCTGACATATACCATCATCTGTGAGTCTGATGCCAGGGTGCAAAGGAAATCATCCTGTATACCCTCTGAGTTCATCTAAGCTGGCAAATAATGAGTAAACATCAGACAAGGTGATAAGAGAAAAAAAATCAGCAAGGAGTTCAATAATAATGTATATGCCACCTGTAAACGTGGGAGAGACTCCAGCATGAGTCATTCACTCATGTGGGCCTCAGATGCCATTTTTGTTTTTTTTTAAAGATTTATTCATACAGAACTGGGTTAGAGGCCAGAGGTGCAGGGGCGGTGAGCGGGCTCACCAGAGACAGAGTGGGGAGCAGAACAGGCAGACTGACAAAATACACTGCTGAGGGGAGCAGCAGGCAGGTCAGGAGAGGTCTGCTGCGCCATGTGGGTCAGCTCTGGGCTGGGGATCGAACTCATGCTGAAGTGGCTGTGGTCAGCTTCATAGTGGTGCGCTTTAACCCATTACGCCACCAGGGAGCGCCCTCAGATGCCCTTTTCAATAGCTATGTAAAAGGAGTTGGGGAGAAGAAAAGCAAAGGTGAGTTAGGGAACTTATTAGGAAATAATTCCTTCTCCATGGAAAGGAGCTTAGGTCTTCCCTGAAGACTGAGAGAGGCACACTTAAAGAAGAGAAGAGAGGTTTTGTTTTTTTTTAATACATGCAAATGTCTTTCACAAATGCGTTGCCTCTACCCATCCTTCCGAGCCCCTCCCATGAAATAAACCCAAAAAGTATATTTTGAAGTGGCAGAGATCTGCTCCCTCACATGGAAAATGCTTCTCCAGCCTCGCCTAGTCTGCATGGATATTTACGCGGCAATATTAACGTGTCAATTCACTGACACGTTAGGCCCCAAATCCTGATGGAAATGTAAGGTGCAACCATTCGTGTTTCATTCCTTCATTAGCCTATTGAAAAATGAATGTGGTGAGAAAGTAATATTTTAAAACCATTTGTGCGCTCCCTTCTGTAAGTGGTTTTTGGAAGAGGAAAGGGAAAGACATTGTGATAGGGGAAAGTGTGTTTGCCAAGGCAGGAATGAGTACCTACGAAGATGACTACTAGTTGTTGAACACAGTCGTTTCCCATGCCGTATTTTTCCTGGGTCTGCTCTGAGCTTGAATTTGGTGGACCCATTAATTTGATTAATGGGAATAGCCCACTGAATTCCTGCCTGCCTGCCCACCCTTAAAGACCATGTAAATAAGTATATAAAATAAAAAGTAAACAACCCTCCCCCACGCTTACCCTAAAACCCTGCCTGTTTGCTGTCTCTCCCTCTCCCACCCACTCCCTGGGGTCACCTTCATAACAACTCAAGTGTGTACCATCCAAGGCTTATTTCTGGGTGTATCCACATGTCTCTAAATATAGATGCTCTCAAGGAAATGTCCCATTTAGTTGGCGGGGTGCGGGCTGTTGTTGCTGCTGCTGTTTTTTTAAGTAATCCTGGTGTTTATGTTCTATAACTTCCATTTTTCAGTCATTAGTGTATCTCTGGCATTACTCCGTGTTGGAATATTAGCCCAGTTTCCAGCAGTATGTTTCAATTTCGCAGTTAAAAAAAGCTTGTGACTGAATGAGCATTGCGATGTAACATTATGTAAGTGTCAGGTGTTCCTGTGGAGCAGCAGCACATGGTCAGGTCCCTGCTGAGAGTCCACTCAGCCCTTCTCCACACCATCGCCCCTTCTCCCCAGTTTACCCTTCCCCTCCCTCCTTCCTTCCTCTGGCCACTCATTGTCAACATCAAGCATGTTAACAGCTGTGAAAGAGTCCACACCCCGTCCCTTTTCACAAAGCACATGCTTTCTTGTTCTGGGCAAAAAAAAGAATGTAGTAACTTTGGGGCCAACTCTAGAGATTGCCTTAAAAACAATCCATTTCCGGGCCCTCCCTGGTGGCGCAGCGGGTTAAAGCGCTGCACTAAGAAGCTTAAGCCACTTCCGCATGAGTTCGATTCCCGCCTGCCCCGGAGGTGACCACATGGCGTGGCAGACCTCTCCTGGCCCGCCCACTGCTCCCCTCAGCAGTGTACTTCATTGATCTGCCTGTTCTGCTCCCCACTCTGTCCCTGGTGAATCCTCTCACCCTCCGCATCTCTGGCCTGTACCCCAGTTCTGTATGAATAAATAAATAAATCTTTAAAAAAAAAAAACAATCCATTTCCATATTGGAAATCTCTAGGATATAGATATTAAATACTATTTCACTTTATTGTTTTGATGACAGAGATCCTTTAGTGAGGGATGCTAGAATGAGTCTCGGGGAGCACTCACAGCCCAGCGTATGTTTATTGCTCTTGAAATGGTATTTAGGAAGTTATTAAACATTTCTGGCTAAAAATAACATTTATACTATAGGGAATTTTTAAATATTAAACCCCCCCCCCAAAAAAAAACCAACACAGCTAATTTCACCACTCAGAGAGAGCAATTTACATTCTGTCATCTAATTAATCTTTATCTTTCTATTTACAAACACACAAAGACATTTTTTTAAAGATTTATTTACGCATACAAGAATTGGGGTACAGGTCAGAGGCTTAGAGGTGAGAGGATTCACAGGTGATAGGATTCACCACAAACAGAGTGGGGAACAGAACAGGCAGGCACAGAAGTGAGAGGACTCACAGGTGATAGGATTCACCAGAAACAGAGTGGGGGACAGAACAGGCAGATGGATTGAACTACACTGCTGAGGGGAGCAGTGGGCGAGATAAGAGAGGTCTGATGCGCCATGTGGGTTGCCTCCCTGGCGTGGGGTCAAACTTGTGCTGCAGAGGCTGCAGATAGCTTCGTAAGTGCTGCACTATAATCCGTTGCATCACCAGGGAGGCCCCACAAAAGCTTTTTTTTTTTTTTCCCAGTAAACATTGGGTAATACCACACATACTTTTATATTTGAATGTTTATGGAACAACCATCAACCCACCTTTCCGTTGTTCCTAACTTTTCACCATTTGAAAACAATGCTTTGGTAAATAAACACGTGGGTGTGTCTTGTATCTTTTCATGGTGATTTCCTCAGGATGAGTCCAGAGGAGGGGAGCTGCTGGACCCCACAACACACAGGGTGTCCCCCTGCAGTGCACTTTGCAGATCCATCTCCGGGAGGCCAGAAATAACTGGAGAGGGCCCTGCTTTCTGCAGCTCTTCCTTTATCAGGTCCCAGTGATCTTGTGCACGGAATATGCATCTACATTTTCAAACATAAGCATGCCTTTAAAAAAGGCACATCCCAGTAAAGTCAAAATAAGACACAGTTGTCCTGTGCTCAGTGTCTGTATTCAACACTCAGGGAACAGGTTGGGCAGCACAGAAATAGTTTCTTAAAGGGAACTGAGGGCCAGAATCCAAACAGATGCTGGCAAAAAGAAGCGCATGGATGTTTCCCCAACTTATTTCTCTGCTTTATCTCTCTCACAGGTTTTGGAATCACTTTCAAATAAAACTCCCTCTAACACCACCCAACTGGCAGTCCTCCTGATCGGGAGAGCAGATCCAAGTTTGCCAGGTAAACCTCATTTAGAGAGGAATGCTAGAGGTTAACTACAAGAACATTCCTGTTTAACAGTAAGTAAAATGAGTGAGGATCCTTCAGCTCAGAGTCCATAGAATGGTTGATCTGGTTGAGGTGAGCACACAGCCAGTGAATAAACACAATAAAAATGATTCCAGGTAGTCACTAGCCTCCACACACGAAAAAGCAGCAACAAAAGCTGAAGGGAAAAGCACTACAGGCAGAGAGAGTTGGGAAGTATCCCCTCTCCATTTGCAGCAGACACTCGCAACCGATGGAGACTGATTTGCTGGGCACACAGAAGCTTCGCCATCACTCGGGGTGTGCCTCTGGCTAGTGAATTCCCAAGCCTGTTTCCATACATGTGTGAGTGAAAGCTCTCATGATGTTACTGCAAAGATAGTAAATTCCCTGACTCATACACTGGTATTTATTCCACAGCCAGCTGTGGCATCCCATTGCGTTATTGTAACCTGTTGTTTCTTCCAGTCAGTAAACACTCAATTTTTTTTTTTTAAAGTTGGCACTCTTGCCCCTGTGTTCTCAGTGCTTAGCACAGTGCCCATTGCACAGCTTTATGCATAATAGGCATTCAAAGAAAGAGGAGTAAGTGAAAATGTGTCTCCTCTGTCACTGTGGCTTACCTCCTAAATTAGGCTCCTGGGTCCTTACCTCTGAAATCAGGGATCCTCATAGAACTTTTTAAATCATGAAGTATTTTGCCCCTAACTCTAGTCTAGCCCCAGGCGTGGAGCTATATATTCTAAGTTTTGATTAGAGGCTAGACAGGCTGCTGAGGGAATTTGCAGACAGCTAGATGATAAGACAGACATGACAAGCACTGTATTTGCTGTACAGGCTAAGTGTTGTGAATGTAGGGGAGGGAGAGATTGTGTCTGGCTTTCTGAGGTGACCAAGAAGAACGGTCTGGGAAAGCTTTGGGAAGGAGGCAGTATCAGGAGAGTGACTTGGAGGTTGGGTAAAGGCTCTGAGAAGCTGAAGTGCAAGGGTAATGGTAGAACATCCAGACCAAAAGAGTGGATGATGGTGATGGTGAAAGGTAGAAAAATGCAGGGCGAATGAGAATATTGGTGAGTCCTCTTGGTGTGACACAGAAGAAGTCTGAGTAGGAAATTAAAGAGCCAGACTGCTCACTGGAAATACTGAGCAGGCTCAGTAGCTGTGAAAAGTTCAGTTGTGAAAAATATTTGAGGCGATGGATTGACAGCTCAGAAGCCAAGGTCTTGGAGGTAGGGCAGGTCTGTTGACGGTGTGTTGAACGTGTTTATGTATATAAGTGGGTGAGTGAAATACAGCAGAGATGATGGTAAGAGGAGTGAGGAGGATGAGTGGCCATCTTGAGGTTGTTTGCACCAGGAGGCAGTAAAGTATGGTGTTCAGCACTTCCCACTTGGGACCTGACTTCTTAGGTTAAACCTTACCTGTCACCTACTATATGACCTTGGGCAAATTACTGAACCACGCTGTACCTCAGATTTTCACCTGAGTGAAAAGAATACTCTGTTATTAGATGTAATAGAGAGCATATACATCCATATTTTCACATATGTGAATTTCGTATTATAATTATATATTATGCATGGAATCTATATGCATAAATTTCATAATAGTGCTTACCTCACAGGATTATGTCCTTTGTGTTGGGCACTTTTAGAAGAGTGAGGGGTACACGGTAAGTGAACAGTAAGTGGTAATGACGGTAAGCAGGAGAGTCATGTGACCTATATGTGGTCATTTGTTGAATCTGTGAAAAGGTGAGAGAAAAGTCACATTCTATCTCACAATCCAGTTTTAGACTCTCATGGCAAAGGATCATTGACCATCTAACTTGAACTATAAAAAAATGAGAAAGTATTTTCATACTGTTATTCATGGGTAATATCTTTATTCACAGGGATGTCAAGTAATATGCAAAATTCAAGAATTAATTATGCTGCATCTTGACCACAAGAAGTTAATCTCAAAGAGAATATATTGTACTGGTATCAGTAATAACTATATGTTAAATTTGTGATAGATGTTCTCATGGCTTCTGTCTATAAATCATTATTTGACCAGATTACTAAGCATTTTGCTTATTCCACTGAAAATTCTGTGTAAATGAGTTGTAAATAGAAACAAATTTTCTATGGAAAACAAAGCATAACAAGATGTGTAAATCCAAGCATAAACAAGATGTGTAAATCCAAGCGTAGAAGAAATAGAAGTAGAAAAACTATCCTATACAGTAGCTAGGAAAAAGGAAAGGGATGGAGGAGCAGAAGTTGAGATAAAAGGAGGGAAGAGAGTAGAGAAATAAATGAGGGGCCATAAAAAGAAAAAAGGAAAGAGAAAAAAAATACAATGGAATTCAAACAGAATATAAAAATGTTTATTTTGCTCGTTAGTAATAGGTTGATTCCCCAAATAGATTTGATGAAGAAAGTACAGTAAGGAGGATTCAAGGATTATTTTCAAATTTTCAAAAAGCATTTTTGAAACATGTGTTTACCAAGATACCAAGACAAAGCTGCAGCACTGCCCTGAAAGATAAAATGTCATTACGAGGAAATTCCTGATTTAATCCAGCACATCAACTACTTGGAGATGCTATGATAATATACAAAAACTCCATGGAAAAACTAATCAAAATAAACAGTTCAGTAAAGTAGCAGGATATAAAATTACCGCACAAAAATCATTAACCCTCCTATAGGCAAACCATCAGTCTGAAGAAGAAGAAGAAATCAAGAAAACCATCCCTTTTATCATTGAAACCCAAAAAAATCAAATACTTGGGAATAAACCTTAGAAATAGATGAAGGACCTATATAGAAAATTATAAAAAGATCGCTAAAAGAAACAGAAGACACAAAGAAATGGAAAGACATCCTCTGCTCATGGAATGGAAGAATTAACATTATGAAGATGGTCATCCTCCCAGACGCAATTTACAGATTCAGTGCTATTCCGATAAAAATTTCAGTGACTTTCTTTAAAGAAATAGAACAAATATTGATGAAATTTATATGGAGCCATAGAAAACTCAAATAGCCAAAGATCTCCTGCCTAAAAAGAAGAGGAATTGAGGTGTAACACTCCCAGATTTCACACTATACTACAAAGCCATAATAATTAAAGCTGCATGGTACTAGAACAAAAACAGACACATCGACCAATGGAATCAAATAGAAATCCCAGAAATAGGGCCCATCCTGCTGGCACCACGGGCTGAAGTGCAGCACTATGAAGCTACTAGCCATGAAGTAGCCATGGCTACTTCAGTGTAAGTTTGATCTCCGCCCTAGGAGGTGACCCACATGGTGCAGCAGACCTCTCCTCTCTCACCCTCTGCTCCCTTCAGCAGTGTACTTCATCAGTCTGCCTGTTCTGCTCCCCACTCTGTCTCTGGTGAATCTTCTGAATGCCCCTGCACCTCTGGTTCTGTATGCATAAATAAATAAATCTTCAAAAAAAAAGAAGAAAGAAAACCCAGAAATAAACCCATAGACTTATTGACACTAATCTTTGACAAAGCAGCAAAGACTATATAATGGAACAAAGTTTGTTCAATAAATGGTGCTGGGAAAATGGACTTCTACATGCAAAAGAATGAAGCAAGCTAGACTACTGCCTCACACTACACACAAGAGCCACATCAAAATGCATTAAAGAACTAGACGTAAGACCTGAAACTATAAAATATCTAGAAGAAAATACAGGCAAAATACTACATGACATACACCTCAGTAATTTTTTAAAAGAGACATTACTTAAAGCAAAGAAAGTGAAGGAAAAGGTAAACACCTGTGACTACATAAAATTAAAGAGTTTCTGTACAGCAAAAGAGATATTAGCTAAAACCAAAGAGATACCCCACTGACTGGTTAAAAATTTTGTACACCATATGATAAGGAACTGATCAGAAACATCTGCAGAAAGCTAACAAGCCTCAACAAAAAACTCACTCAAAAAATGGGAGAAGAGCTAGTAAGACACTTTTCCAAAAGTGATATGCAAATGGCCAACAGGTATACAACAAAATGTTCAACATCACTTGTAATCAGGGAAATGAAAATCAAAACCACAATGAGGTTGCACCATACACCAGTGAGAATGGCGCATATTTAAGAAACCAGCAACAACATATGTTGGCAAGGATGTGGAGAAAAAGGAACTCTCCTACACCACTGGTGGGAATGCAAATGGGCCCAAACACTATGGAAAGCTGCGTGAAGGTTCCTCAGACTATATGCTCCAGCAGTTTCACTCCTTGATATCTACCCAAAGGACACAAAAACATTAATTCAAAAGGACACCTCCACCTCTATGTTTATTGCAGCCCTGTTTATAATAGGTAAGCTTTGGAAACAATCCAAATGCCAAAAAACTGATGACTGGTTCGAGAAGATGATAGATATACACACATATACAGACACCAAGTGGAATATTACTTAGCAATCAAAAAGGATAAACTCTTGCCATTTGCAGCAACATGGATGGAGCTGGAAGGGATCATGCTCAGTGAAATAGGCCAGAAGGAAAAAGAAACGCATCATATGGTTTCACTTATAGGAGGAATGTAGAGGAACCAAATGAGGGATTGGGGGCGGGGAAGTAACAAAGTAAAAATCAGAGTGAACAGACAACTATAGATCAGAGATACTCTGCAGGGAAGGAGGAAGGTGAAGGATCCAGATGGGGTGGGAAGGACACCGTGACTGTGGTGATGGTGCACAGGTGAATTGGTGGGGATTTCTCGGGAATATCATGCACTGCACAAATATGAAGAGTGATGTAATAAATATATTAAAAAATAAATCTCTTGATTAATTGAACAAAATTTGTTATTTAATGCAAATTATAAGTGCTAATAAATTAGAGGCCTTTAATAAAAATGATGAACATTGACTATAAAAATGAGTTTTGGTGATGAAAAGCTTTTAATACCAATTTAAAAATCATTCATAAAGATCCATATCTTGAAAAAATTAGTTTTTCTGCACAATTTAAAACATTGTTTCAAAGATTAGAATAGGCCACTGATTTATTTCTGCTTATGTGCATAATTTGTGATGCTGATTTAATCAAATGATTAAGACTGAGAAATCCAATTGAATCCTAGGAAACTGGGATTTTAACTAGGTTTCTTCCCCACCCCCCACCAGGAATTATTTTTTTTTACAACATTCTTCATTTTAGTACAATGTATACTTTTTCATCTTGGTTGCAACCCCCATAGGCTTCCCACAAACAATTCACCCACGTGCCATCACCATGGTCCCGAGTGCTCTTCCCAGCCCCATTTTGATCCAATACCCTTCTCCCCTGTAGAATGTCTCTGTTTTATAGTTGTTTGTTTATTTTAACTTTAGCTTTCTTCCAGTTCCTTTTCTTTTTTTTAGCTCACGTGATGACACATGCATACACACACCTTGCTGATTTAAATATCAATCTGTCTTCTGATTATATATACCACCTCTGTAATTCTGAAAGTGCAGGAATCCCATGGTTGAAATGACGTCCCGAATGCTTAAGTGCAAACCTGACAATAGAACTAACAGCCATCTAATCTCACCAACACCAAAGATATTTGCTATTTCTTATTTACTTTGCATATCGTGCATAACAACAGTGCTTGAAATTATTGAATTATATTTTTTTACTTTAGTAAATTATTCAGTAATCACAGAGAAATTGATATTATATATATGTTAAATGTAAATGATGATCAAATAAAAGTTTATTTTAAAATACAGATTTCTGTTCTCATTCTCCTATTCTTGGTATTCCCTTCTGATATCCTGAGTAAGCAATTCTTTGCTAAGGCCTCCAATTGTTTACTTCTTGCTCATCTTAGAAGGTTCTTTTCTACTTGTGTATATCATCTGCCCATTGTCCTCTCATCTCATATTACACTCCCCTTATTCAAACTAAATATTATGAAATGGGGCTCTTCCTGTTGGCACAGTGGGTTAAAGCACCACATTATGTAGTTCTCCAAAGCCACTGCAGCACAAGTTCGATTCCCAGCCAGGGAGCTGACCCACATGGCGTGGCAGACCTCTCCAGACCCACCTGCTGCTCCCCTCAGCAGTGTATTTCAGTAGACCTGCCTGTTCTGCTGCCCACTGTCTCTGGTGAATCCTCTCACCCACCACACCTTTCACCTGTACCCCAGTTCTGTATGCATAAAAAAATTCTTTTAAAAAATTACGAAATGGCCCTCCCTGGTGGCGCAGCGGGTTAAAGCACTGCACTGAGAATCTAAAGCCACTTCCACATGAGTTCGATTCCCGCCTGCCCCGGAGGTGACCACATGGCGAGGCAGACCTCTCCTGACCCGCCCACTGCTCCCCTCAGCAGTGTACTTCGTCGATCTGCCTGTTCTGCTCCCTGCTCTGTCTCTGGTGAATCCTCTCACCCTCTGGGGTACATCTCTGGCCTGTACCCCAGTTCTGTACGAATAAATAAATCTTTAAAAAAAAAATTACGAAATGATCCTCTCTATTTTGCACCAACATCAACTCCATCAGCAAATCCTTCCATCTCTGCTTTCAGTATATACCAGTGTCTGGCCATCTCCACTGCTCTCAGGACCTGGAGAAGGAAACCCAAGGAGGCAATCTTGGTATGAGGGACTGATTTTCCTACTGCCACCAACAGGAATCTGCCAGTTCCAAAAAAAAAAAAAAAAAGGCCAAAGAACTGAATGCCAGCCAAGGGGGTGAGGGAGGGTATTGGGAAAATCATCCATCCACTGGGACCTGGCAGTGGGCTGCTCAATCCTGCCCTACAACAGCTTAGGCAGTATCAGGGGGCTGCAGACTGCTGGGCCTTCTGCTTCTCTTGCACTGCAGGGCAGGAGCTCAGCTCTGGAGAAGCTAAGATAAGGGAGCCAGAAAGGAAACCTCTTTCTCTTCGCTTGCCTCTCTAGCGTCATCTACAGAAAAAAGCTTCCTACTTTTTGGCAAAGGAGAAATATTTCCTTTTGCACAGCAGGCAAGGAAGAGTGGATTTGAAACTGAGAGGCAATAAATTGACGATGACCACACATGCATGATTGAGAATGCCCATTGTAAGCTCTAAGGCAACCACTTAAATAGGAAACAATAGTGTAACCACAAAATAGAGGGAATGTGGCAATACTTTCAAATATTAATCTGTAAAAGAAACCAAAAAAAAAAAAACAACAACCATAATTTAGCATAAATGGGACAAATATTGTGGGTAAAAGATCAGGATGAGGCCGGATGTGGAGGGTGAAAGAATCCACCAGAGACAGAGTGGAGAACAGAAAGGGAAATTGATTGAAGTGCACAGTGGCCCTCCCCGCGTGCAGCTGGTTAAAGCTAGCACCGCCAAGCTGGCCACAGCTGCTTCCGTGTGAGTGAGTGCGA